CTAATTTTGGGATGAAATCACGCATGGAGGCTTCAAATCGCACTAGGAAAATTAAGCAGAAGGAAAATACCTCGTATTCAACTCTTGGGGGTTGGACAATGTAAGTCATGGTTTCTTTTTACGTTATTTTCGTTTTCTCACGTCTTTGGTTCAAGTATTTTTGTTTTTTTTTGGTCTTCGATTTTTCATTTTTAGTTTTTTCACAACGTGCCATGTGATCTAAAGCAATGTTCAATAAGAGTAAATGTCATGGCTTGGTACACGGTTTCAACGGCGGGTACAAACGGTTCATCCAAACATTATCATGTAATGGTAATTTTTCTCCCAGGAAGCTGCAACCTGCCTGTATTTAATTTTTTCCCATTTGGTTTGTTTGATTGATTTAGCAAAGCTATTGAAGCTACAAGAAATCAATTTGTTAAAGCAACTTTAGCCTACATGTAGCTGCACCCTTCCTCCCGCTAAGGTGAAACGGAGGCGAGGCAACGTCCACGCAACCTGACACTGATCATGTTCCGTGACGTCACTCTTTTGCAAGAAAATATGTAGTGCTTTTTTATTGGTTAACTCGTTTTGACGATTCTTTCGTCAATTTTGATTGGTTAGATTTGATTTAGATTTTCACACTAACGAACTGGTGAACAAAACGCTTTCATGGTCAACTTTTCAGCGATCTACGACGAGGTTTTAAGGCAATTTTCGAACTTTTTTAATAGAGACATTTCAAGAAAAACAGCAGGAAGCCATAGATATGTTTTCCGAAGGTAACGATGTCTCCGTTTCGTTACCAACTGGCTCTGAAAAATCTTCAATATATCGTATATTTAATATATCGCCTCTCTTTTCTAGATGAAACTGGCCACGATATTTATTGCGCCGCCCGTTAAAGCTCTCACAGAAGACCAGGTGCACTATCTTAATATACTTGGGCCAAGAGGATTGTCCGCCTTCAACTTTCGGTCTCTTTGTGAACGGTGCTGTGAAGCTATTAATTTAAGGCTAGTTGTTTATTGTAGTGATTCTTTCGACTGAGAAAAGAGTCGTTCCTTCTTCACGCTTGCAGCGTAACCATCCCCCAGAGAAATAGGTTAAAACTTTGAGATTCAGCGGCAAATGATCCAACTTTTTTCGACGACGTGGCACTGTTTACAAATGCAAGCAGAAACCACATGGACGTTGAAAATCTACTTTCGCAGGGGCGATGCTAATCGAACATCGTCCTCTTCTTACTCTATCCAATAATCGCTCACAATCTTTGCCTATATCCTTAAAGCAAAGTATGTAATTAAACTGAATTACAAATTTACCCGAAAAATGGAAAATGAATTCACTTAAATGTTGTTTTTATCTCGATAACCTTCACGCTAACACGTGCCACTTCGAGGATCTGCGAGGATCTTCTAATTTCATCTTTCCACCGCAGTGCAAATATGTGAACTTTCATATATCTAAATCTTCATTCACGTGCCACTTCGTAAAAAAAATTATTATCAAATGACATCATTTTGCATAAATTAGAGTGACGTCACAGAACACAATTAGAGCCGGGTTTTGCGTAGACGTTCTCCCACTTCCGTTTCACCTTGGGGTGGGGGGGAGGGTACGTAAGACAAAGCAACTTTCAGTTTAGTCATGAATCAGTTTAATCAGCCTCTTCGGTCCTTTTTGTAAGGAACTCGCCGCGCTCGGGTCGACGTTCTATCAGCATGTGTGTATCGCACTTGGTTTACGAAATTTATTGTATGAGAAAAAATCTCTATGCGCCCACGGTCCCTGTACTACATGTATTGTATCCTTGTACTTCAAGCCTGCTTAGCGAAGGGTGTAAAATAAAAAAGCAGAAGAATTGCAAAACAACCAACAGGTTAAAGCAGCAAGTGAAAAATATTAAAACTGTTGAGCCTCATGTGGTTGAATCATGAAACGCCGAGTCTGCTTTCGAGATTTCCTTTAAGTTTAACGTTGGTTCTAATCTAAACGCGAGTAAAGAAGGATGGCTGAGTGCTTTGTGGCGCTGGATCTCACCGCCGAGCAAATGGTATTGGGTCTGAATCGTGGTCTTGGGACTCTTAAATCGACTTTCAAATTCAAACATTGCGTGACTGAAACTTAAAACATGCGAAAATAAAGGGGAATTTCCTGGAGATTGACAGCCATATTTGCGGAAATGTTTTAATAGTAAAGTTTCTTCACTTAAAAACGTTGCACCATTGAAAGCAATCACAGCCACTTGACCACTTTGTTTCTTTCGTACAATTAACATCATCATTTACAGCAACTCCTCTAAGTCCGTTTTATAGGTCGGTAAATAATTTTTGTGTAGACGTTGATACGCAAAGTGTTGTCCATTAGAAGATTTTAAAAATGACTGCTACAACTTTCAACAATTCCAACACAACGCCACGCAGTTTTCTGGTCGTGAAGTGTGGTAATCAACTTTCAAGCATGGTGAACCTGTAGCGAGGGTTCCGTATATCCGGGATATCTGTACGCTTTCCGCTTCTAATAGCGTATCTGTCACTCCTTTGTCTCGACATATTTTAGTCTTGATGATTTTTTTTCGTGCTTTATGTCTAATTTCCGGCAGCATATGTTTCTCTGCTAAGCTATTGAACTGTTTTTTTGTTTTATTTGAGCATGTTTTTGAAAGAGCCGATTTATAAAGTGTTAATGCGAATTGTTTCTCCAAATATTTTGATTAATGAAAAATCAATATTTAAACTGTAAGAAATGTAGCTATTCATTCGTCAATTTTGCGTTTATCGAGATATGAAGCATTTGGATAATTTGGATTGAATTCAAGAAGCTAAACTATTGTTCTCGGCTACACCTCTGGAAACTCTTTCGTATCTTTCGTACCCTCCCAACAGACCCAACTTCCCGCATGTTCCATATCTAACAGATGATGAGACGCGAAGGCGGAAGAAGCAAACGCGATGTAACCGCTGGTTACAGTTCGTGGACCCCTAAATAGAACGTTTACATATTATTCCTTTACTTCCCTACCGTTGCATCTAGAAACGTGGTTCTGCCGTCCTATCTCGAAGCGTGGTACGCCTTCACGGCGTAGAAATTGCAATGTTTTCGGTCGTATCCGACGTGTCTATATTCTTATGCTTGGTTTTGTTTATTCTTAAGGCAGGTAGGTACACGAACTTATCTTTACTGAGCGACGGTTTCCGTTGGCGCGAAAAACAACTTCGCGATGGACTGTCGGGATTTATTTCCAAACTGGTTGAAGGATCTGTGCTGTTTAAATAATTTTTTGTTTCGTTTTGTAGAATTAAGACCATCATTTACAGCAACTCCTCCAGATCCGTTCTATGTTTTGGAAGGCAACAATATCACCTTTGTGTGGCAGTACAACCTTAGTAAAGCGTTTGACAGAGTTATCTTTCGGTTCAGCAGCTCTCCCTCCCGCACCATTGTGTTCAAAAATGACATAAACCTCGACGCAAAGGTTCCAGAAAGTGTTTACCAGGGTCGCATCCAAGAAAACATCAATGCTACACGAGCAGAAATTACAATCTTTGAATTACAGAGATCTGAGAGTGGAGAGTACGTAATTCAAGTGACCGACAGTTCTTTCAACCCTGCCAGTGACGAAGTGACTGTTCAAGTACAATGTAAGTAACCATCAAAAGTTTTATGAATATTATCTCTACCGGTGCTATTTGTTGAAAATTTTAGAAATCATTCCGTAAAGGTGAATCTCGTTTTGTTGTTGGATATTTCATTTCATTTATTCTTGACGCAAATTGCTGCTATTTTACGGGTAGCTTCGGAAAACAT